TAGAGCCCTTCAGGCTTCCCGCTGCCGACAAGCTTTTTGGAGCTGAAGATTTTATTTTCCAGCAGGATTTGGCACCTGCCCACACAGTCAAAACTACCAGTACCTGGTTTAATAGCCATGGAAAAACTGTACTTGATTGGCCGGCAAACTCGCCTGACTTAAACCCCATTGAAAATCTATGGGGTATTTTCAAGAGGAATATGAGGGAACACAGACCCCGAAATGCAGACGAGCTGAAGGCCAATATCAAAGCAACTTGGGCTACCATAACACCTCAACTGTGTGAAAAGCTGATCGCCTCCATGCCACGCCGCCTGGATGTAGTAATTAGTGCAAAAGGAGGCCCAACAAAGTACTGAGGACATAATACAGTACATTAACACACTTTTCAGAAGGCCAACATGTGTTTAAGATCCTTCTTTTTTTTATTGGTCACATGAAATATTCTAATTTTGTGAAATACTGGATTTGGGGTTTTTTTTTGTCTTTAATCCATAATCATCAAAATTGAAACAAATAAAGGCTTGAAATATTTCACTTTGTGTGTAGTGAACTAATATAACATATAAGTTTCACTTTTTGAAACAAATTATTGAAATAAATGGACTTTTCCTCGATATTCTAATTTTTTGGCACATACCTGTAGTGGCTGGTAACTCAGTAGATGCATCTGGGTTCCTGCAGCCACAGTGCAGTCTGCAACTGAAAATAGCTTGAGTTGGACTTTCCTAATTTGACTGCTTACTCCATATATTCAGGCCACACCCTCCAGAAATGTGCAATGTGCTTTTAAATACTGGTAAAACCCTAGTTGGAACAATTTTATCACAGAGACCTTCTTTTAGCTTCAGTCTCTGACAACTTTACCTGGACCCAGAGCATCCTCCAGATCCAAACCTGTAATACAAAAGCACACAAACTTTAACCACTGACCAAATAATACTCAAGTTATCTAACCTTTGTATTCAAAATGTGTTCACGTGAAGCCATTATAAGGAATTTGTTCACCCAACTACATTTTTAAACTTCAGTACATAAAAGCAAAACTATCTACATTGCTAGACACCATTTCAGGTCTACGGGAAAACGTTAAACCAACCTACCAAAATCTCCAGGACTTGGTTTCTTGGTTTTCTTAGTAGGTGGCACATCTGCAGATCAATTATTTGTTTAGTAAAGAACAAGAAAACATCTATAACAATCACCGTTTGAAATATTCACATCATATCAAAAACTTATCACCAGAGAAACACTGCACAGGGAATGCGAACCAGTTAGTTCTTCTAACTGCATTTCCGCTGGAGGAACCAGGGTCTAAATTTAGCTCCGGGCCATAGTTCAAATATACAAATAATTTTTGCAGGTTATCTGGTACCAATCCCTGGTACCAACATTTCATGTTCTTTGCCCTGGGGTCAGTTTTAGCCTTACATCAACTGATGAGCTAAATTACCCCAGCTGCTATAATTGAGCAATAGGGTTCATCTATGTATCTTAATCGGTTTTCCAACTACAGTGTGTAATCATTGAGAAAAACAATTGATTTGATTTGATTTATTCTTTCAAGCATGTAAAGACAGTTATGTCAACACACATAATTTTACACATATCCAACAAGTGCTAATCCAATATCAATTTGCTTATACCTAGTACATGCTTGAATGGAGTAGGAAGTCAGACTTATCCAGTCCTACCCCATGACATCATCTTACCATCATTGGTTTGCAAGCAGTATCTATACATAGATAATTCTCTTCTACACCACGCAAGTAATATACTAAAAAATTATAACAGAGTGTTAACATTCTTACATAATTACATTCTTAAATAATTATCTTCTACACCACACAATTAATACATTAAAGAATTATTACAGAGTGTTAACATTCATACACCACACCCACAATGTTCCATCTAATTAATCATTAAGCCTGTTCTTGCATATATCTTGATTGACACATACCTTTATATTTATGTTTAAACTCATCAATTCTATTACTATTTTTTATGTCCACACTTAAATTATTCCATAGTTTTACCCCACTTATAGAAATACAAAATCTTTTTTTGGTTGTATGTATCGCATGAATTTTAAAATTTTACTGACCCCTTAAATTGTATCCCCCTTCCCTTTCATTAAATAGTTTTTGAATTCCACCAGGTAATAAATTGTTCCTGGCTTTATACATAAACACTGCAGTCTTATATCCAACTAAATCAAAAAAGTTTAACAATTTAGACTGTATGAAA